AAAATTGTCGATTTCGTGAAATTGATCCAGAATATTTTGAAGTATTCAAATCGTTACATACGTTTAATATTTCGGATGTAGAGTTGGAATCACTTCAACCAAAAGTATTTCAAGAGGCAACGGAGTTAACCAATTTAATCGCACCGCAAAATAAACTAACGGAAATTCCAAGTCTTTCATTTATTAATAACTATAAACTTGAGAATGTTGACTTCTCCAGAAATATCATTAAAAAAGTGGATCCTTTGGCTTTCATTGGAGCAGATAACATCATATCCTTGAATCTTTCACAAAACAATTTGACGGAACTCAGTGATCAGTTATTCAAAAATTTGATTAACTTGAAATATTTGAACATATCACATAATCGTATCGACAAATTCGATTCAAATCATGTCTGTTCATCTAAATTATTGAAACTTGACCTCTCATATAACAATCTGACATATTTGAGTAATCACTTATTTGACCGAACTACCGAAATGAAGGTGCTAGATTTATCATTTAATTCAATCGGAAATCTAAATGTTGAAATATTTGCATTTATGCCAAATTTGGAACGTTTGAATCTGAGACATACTAAAATGACCAGCATTCAATTGGGAACATTTTCGCATCAACATAAATTAATTTCATTGGATTTATCTGAAAATCACTTAAAGGAAGTGAACTTCGGATTGTTCATGCCTGTAATGCACGATCTAAAAATACTTCGCTTGGGCGGAAATCAGCTATCACATTTGAATGGATTTCGCAATGCTCTGTTTCCAGAATTAACATTGCTGGATATAATGAACAATGCGTTCAATTGCTCATATTTGCAACATTTCATGGAAATCATCGACTGGAAAAACCTTCATCTTCACTTTGTACCAAGGTCAACTAAGGAAGATGAGACGAATATTCGAGGAATCAGCTGTAATTACACCATCTATGAACCAACAGTTAACAATAATGAAGAAAAAAATGAGACTCATGTTGAATTTGAAAGTTTGGAAGAAATAGTGAATGAATTAAAATTAAATTCAGAATCTCATGACAAATTCGTTAAAACTATGTCAATATTAATTTTCATTGTATTCTTGGCTTATTTCGTAGTATTCATTATACTCAATCGCGATCGTCTGACAAATCTATACAATAAATCTGAACTTTCAAATAATCAACCAATATCAGCAACTTATAACAGAGAACGAGCTGAAACATTACTATTGCCAAAATAATACTATTACTAACTAAAATATTGATCGTACTGTAAATTATTTTTAATGTTTTTAATAAAGGAATCTATATTTATCAGATCAAAAAATATGTATGTTGTCGAATTTTTGATAGAAGAAAGAAAATGATTTTAAAAATGCCTAAAGTCACATCTGTTTTGTGCGAAAATGATGAGGTTCGTTTTATTAATAGAATTTTGATTCAAAAAATTGTCTCAATGGTCGTAATCAGGGACCGGGTCGCGTATAATTTTATACTAGCATAAAAAACGCAGGCAGTATAAATATACAAAGCAGAGCATCTTGATTTGCTGCTGCTCAGCATATTACTGAGAGCTGAGAAATGCTGAACTCGTGCGGCTAACGCATACGAAACGGATGCACGATACATATTCCCCTTTCGCTTCGTATGTGCTGCCGTTGACGCTATTGCCGGTACAACGTTTACACACTATACCAGCGAACATACGAAGTGAAAGGGGAATATGTATCGTGCTTCCGTTTCGTATGCGTTAGACGTACACTTTCAGAATATATGGAAGACTGAGAGCAAAAACAGCACGTCGCATCTCATCTCTTGCTTTCACTTACGTAAGCAAAATAACGAGGGATGCGACGTGATGTTTTTCTCGCAGCCTCTCATATGTCGGTCGCAACACAATTTCAAACTCAACTGGTTACTAAGTTTTGAGTTTTGAATTGAACGACCAAACAACTGTTTATAACCGTTTAAACGAGGAGAATGCATGTGTGCGTGTCATCCATTTCGTATGCGTTAGCCGCACGAGTTCAGCATTTCTCAGCTCTCAGCTATATGCTGAGCAGCAGCAAATCAAGATGCTCTGATACAAAGTATAAACGCAGACGCAACATATCCATCGCTATTCGCTATGTATGAAGCATGTGAATACATGTTCGTGTGTGCATGTGACCATTGAGAGGCGCACGCACATACATTGTATTTATTAAGAGTAGCACAAAGCGAACAGCGACGGATATGTTGCGTCTGCGTTTATTCAAAGTATAAATATCTTGTAAAATTCTATATGCGATCCGATCCTTGGTCGTAATCACATTGTAAATATGAAGAAAGCATCAATACAGTCGTCTTTTTTTATTGGAAGAAAACATGACTAATTATTTCCATTTTGACTAAAACGTAGATTCGATCGTTTTTCAAAATTACCAGAAAAGATCTGAGACTGTCCAGTGATTTTGATGGACTTTCATTTTTTTCAACATAGGTTCAAAGTCCTTTCATTTGTACATTCATTTTGTATATAATATCCACATACAGTGTCCGTCAAAATTGTGGAACCACCTATGTATTTTTCATACAAAATGCCGTTTTTTGAGGTTTCAAAAATAATGATTTTTATTCTCAAAACGGCATTTTACGGCATTTTGTACGAAAAATACATAGATGGTTCCAAAATTTTGAAGAGCACTGTATATGTTGCATCTTCCTCTCAAATAATTTTGTTCAAGTATATTGCGAAATTACTCATTTCTATGAGCTCATTTTCTGATGCTTTATCAACGAGTTCATGGAACAAATATAAGCTTGGCGATAAAATGACTAATAGTTGTGTTTTTTTCTTTCACTGAAACAATATCTTTTATGTATGCACAAATGGTGATATCTCTGATCGTCCCACAACAAAATCTCTTACATCGACCAAAGTTTATATAAACAAGAATAAAGGTCACACGAGACAAATAATCCGAACAAAGGAAAAACCCAAGACTGAATAACAAAAGCAAATAGTGCTAATCAAAAGGAAGTTCAAAATCTAAGTATACAACTGTTTGTTTGACAATATATTTTGCGTTGTATTTATTCTACATCAATCGACATTAATTAACAATGAAAACATGAAGCAAAGCAACATTTTTAAATAGAAAAGAAGAATTAAAAATTTTCCATGTAAAAAGTTTACAAATTTCCTTAAATTTTCACTGCTCTTAGAAAATCATTTTGATACAATTTAATACATTTTGAAAAAAAAAATGTAAAAATTTCACTTCTTATACTCTGATTCGTATGCTCAACACTGACATAACATGTTATAAATATTAAAATATGATGACATCAGTTGATATATTGTATCACAAATCATCGTTCACATAGCCAGCAATGGGGACATTGGCTTCATCTGGGAAAATATAAAAAAAAGTTAATTATATTGTTTGTCAAAATATCAGGAGAATTGTATCATAAATGCTTACCATAACCTTTATTTGTGTCATAGTTTCGTTTGTTGTTGAAGTAAGTCATGCCAATTAGTATAGTCACGATGAAAACTACACCAATTACAGCTGGTATGACCCTATAGATTGGGAAAAATATGTATAAAAAATCTATTCAAAAGACAACATTTCAAGTCCGCAGTAAGACTTACCAATGAATTTGGCCAAGTTGCCTCTTTTGCGCTTCTTGATAAAGTGGATCATATTCGCAAGTGAAGTTATTTTCAGCACTGAATTTGAACCCATCAAGGCATTGGCATTTGTTTGGTCCTATGCATGTTCCATTTAGGCAGCTAGTTTCGCAAATTGGCTGGCAAACGCGTGACTTGCTCTCATTATAACTCCAACGATATCCTGTATCACATTCGCATTGATCAGGATTGATGCAGTAACCATTGACACAATTCATGTTGCAAGCCGGCTCACAAACGTCACTATGTCCTTCGCTCATCTTAAAACCGTTCACACAAATGCACGTATTGTTTGATGCGCAAATGCCATTAATACAATCGCACGTTTTCACTTCGTCTCCCTTACAATTACTTGGATCATCGATGCACATTTCAATAGAAGCCACACAATTGGAGTTTTCATCTTTTTCGAAGCCATCGTAGCATTCGCAGTCATGACGTGTGATACATCTTCCATTTTGACAAGTGTTCGCAGTGCAAATTGTGGACATGTTATTTCGAATTACATCACCGTTCAAGCGATCATCATCGTCTAAGCAGTGACACTGACCGTCGATTTCCACACAGTATTGCCCGCAATGACATTCATGTGGCTTATTTTCATCCATTTTTTCATAACCATTTTCACATTCGCATACATTTGGGCTAACACATTTTGCATTTTTACATGAATCTGTGCAGATCGGCTCACATTCTGTTTGCGATCCGTTTTTGAAGCGATAACCATAGTTACATTCACATTTATTGGCACCACTGCACACACCATTCACACAAGTCTCGTTGCAATGTGGAATGCAAACGCTGATCGTTGCATGATGAGTATAGCCTGCATTACATTCGCATTTTTCGGGCGAAATACACTTTCCATTGTGGCACATTCCATCGCAAACAGGAACACATTCACTTAGGCTTGCATCCCAATTGTAGCCAGGATTACACAAGCACTCACTTGGAGCGAAGCAAGTGCCATGCGCACAACCAACACATCTTGGTTCACATCTGATCGAACGAGAAATGAATTAGTTACGACATTTTTGATCACTGCATTATTTCTATTGAATATATCGAGAAGAAAGTATGTTATTCAGCGCTTATAGTTGAGTAATGTCTGAATAAAAACATACTCTCCTCTCGATATTTTCAATAGATATAATGAAGACACAAAATTCGAAATATATTTCACCGCCAAGTTAACTTTGAAATAATAAAAAATAAAGGGAACGGCGATATTTACTTACATATTTGGCATAATTGTTGGTATATAATCTTCGTAACAAGTACATACATTTGGTGCAGTACAGCTGCCATAGACACAGTACTGGTCACAAATTGGTTGGCATTTATCTTGTGATTCATTCTTCACATATCCATTGCAGCATCTTGTAACAGTTTCATT